GGGGGGGGGGGGGCAAGAGTAGTGTACGATGTCTTCACCAAAAGTATCAATGGGTTGGTTCCTCTGCTCTGGCTCAAGTATGTCTGAAAAAGGAATGGGAAAAGAAAATTTTCCCTTCAGCTTCAGGGAAAGACACATGATTAGGTTTATGCGGAAGCTCATGCTTACCAATTGCATCAATGAGTTGATGTGTCTCTTCCGGCAATAACTTTTCTGGAAAGGAAAGTAGAAAATAGGTTTTCCATTCGTAATTGAACAGGAACATCCCTGAGACAGCAGTGTGATATGTGTGAACGATGTCCGGACCAAAAGAATTAGTGAGCTGGCGAATCTGCTCCGGCTCAAGTATGACTGAAAAAGAAAGACCAGTAAAAATGTCATTTTCACAGCAGGAAAAGGCACACGATATGGGGCATAAGGAATGTCGTCCTTACTAAATGCATGGATAAGTTCCCGAAACTCCTCTGGCTCGAGTTGTTCTGGGAAGAAAAGAAGGTTATTAATCAGCCCCTCTTAACCGAAAAGGGAAATCCACGGGACGAAAGAAGATGGGGTGAGCTGGCGAAATTGGCAAAGAATGACCTCACCAAAGATATTAAAGACCAGGCACTTCTGCTTCGGCTTAAGTATGTCTGGAAAAGGGGAATGGAAAATATGGCATTTTGACGGTGGTAAAATTCAAATAATAGGCCATGTTTGGAATGTTGTCCTCACTCAATTCATCAATAAGTTGGCGTGTCTCCGGCACGAGTTTATCTGAAGAGAAGCGAGAAAAAAGGTGATTTTCGCTTAACCCCCTTAGAACAGCTGCAAATTATATGTATTTAAACTTCTTTTTGTTACTAACTCAAATAACCATAAGACCATTTGTTTATATGCATATATATATTCTGTTTCCGTATGAATTCCGGATTTGTTTTTCGACCGACTTTTTAAGTTCTCCAAGACATTCGCTCGTTAGGGCTCATTAAAAAGTTCATGGTTTCCCAAATTATGCGAAAGTTTTCGATTCATACATCATGAACAAAGGCACGGTAGACAGCACAAATGCCAAATTATTCAGTCGTTTTAGAGAAAAATTGAAACGATTCACTTCATCCTCTTCAGACAGCTGGTGGAGAGTGCACATCTTTTAGGGGAAGAACTTTTCGTCGTTTATGATTCAGAGAACAGACAACTGTGAGGTCGCGAAAGCAATAGCGGCGCGCCGGATTGACATGGGCACAGCGACCTGGAACGCCTGGCACTTTAGCAGTAACTTCTCCTTCCCGAACCGTTCTGCAGCTAGTCCTCTTGTAGCGCAAGATCGCACCCGTCGCGAAGATCTTCTCATACCATTATTTGATCTCTCATTGACTGTGTATAACCGCATTTCTGCCGAAATTTCCACGAAGACACCGCTGAATAGCGGCTGTACTCCAGAGTCGCGTCGTGCCAGCAAAAACGAAGATCTTGGATAGAGAATTGAGGCATTTTCATTTCAATGTTGAAATAACAGATACAAATTTAACAAATTTAACAGATAACAAATATTAATTTAGCCACTAATTAGCAATGTAACAAGGCACAACAAATATAGAAAAATTAGCTAAGTCACCGAGTCACCATAACGAAATGAGTGGCGCGAGCGCTCCAACAGAACCAGCTTTGCGCTTACGGCATCAATCGGAAATTATCGATGAGTGAATAATATAGGAAACCCTGCTCTTTGGAATGAGACATATAACGAGTTGAAATGGTGCAGTACGATAAAAAGTTATACGAAAGACGAATCCGGGCTTCATACAGAAACATCCATTTCCAAACTTTGTCATCAATTACGAGAATAGCATGCTATAAAGGAAAATAATAAGCCAAAGCATAAATATTTCACGTCTGAAGGGATTAACGGAAAGGGGAGATACATGAGATGGGGTTGGGGGGGGGGAAGCGGTAAACGATATACTGACCAAAAGAATGACTGAGCTGGCTCCTTTGCTCCGGCTCAAGAGGACCTGGAAAGGAAATTCAGAATAAAATATGCCTTTTTGACAGCAAGAAAAGGTCCGCGTTGTGGGTTAGGGGATCTCATCCTCACCAATTACTTCAATGAGTTGGCGTGTCTCTTCTGGCCCTAGTGTTTCTGAAAAGGAATGGGAAAACAGGTGATCCCCTTTTAACGGAACAGGGAAATGCATTTGGGGTATTCCGCAGGCGAATTAGGTAAACGATGTCCCTACCAAAACAACCAATGAGCTGGCTCCTTCGCTCTGGCTCAAGTTTGCCTGGGAAAGAGAGAATGAAATATTCCATATTGACCACAGGAAAATGCATGTGATGTAGGGTGGAAGGTTTGTCGTCCTTACTAATTGCATTAATGAGGTTGCATGCCTCTTCCTGCTCGAGTGTTTCTGAAAATATATTAGAAAATAGATGATCCTCTCCTAACGGAGGCAGGATATGTATGGGGGGAAAGAAGAGGTGGGGCGGCGAGAGTAGTAAACAATGTCCTCACCAAAAGAATCAATAAGCCGGGACCTCTGCTCCTGGTCAAGTATGCCTGGAAAAGAAAGAGAGCAGAAAAGTGACATTTTGAATGGAAGAAAACGCCAATGAGTCGGGTGGAAAAGGGGGGGGGGGGGGGAACGTCCTCCTTACCAAATACATGAATGAAGTCTCGTCTCTCCTCCGGCCCGTAGCTGTCTGTAATAGAGCGTTAATAAAGATGCTTGCATCATTCTGAGGGTGGGAAACATAGGTGACACGGGTGGGGTGCGGGTAGGGGAACATTGTCCTCACCAAATAATCTAATAAGATGGACTCTCATCTCTCGTTCAAGGTTTTCTTTAAAGGAGAAATAATCGATTGCAGCATAATGATGAGACAGTCTTAGGAATTTGCTGGGAGAATGGATAAAACGTCGTCTCTACCGAAACAGCGCAGAAGGTTATATCTCTCTTGCTCCCCGATTTTTTTGTCTAGAATGTAAGGAGAGGTTGTCCCATCAAAACTGAGCTGGTAAACGCATGCGAGGGGGGGGGGCAATGTTGTCCTTACTAAAGTTTCCCAGATGATTTATTGTCTCATACTGCTCGAGTTTGTCTGGAAATGGAAAGAAACACTATCTTATGCAAGCGAAGCAAAAAGTTCTGCAAGTGATATGAGGCGGAAGTGAACATCTCCTTCACTTAGACTTTGCAAGAGGTTCCATGTCTCTTGCTCCCCGAGTTCTTCTGGAATGTAAACAGAGATTTCCAACATCACATCATGATGGTGCAGGTAAAAACATGTAGGGATATAGGGAACATCATACTACTGAAACGCTGCACAAGGTTCCTTATCTCATCCTCTGCCAGTTTGTCTGGAAAAGAAAGAATGAATAGGTGTTATCATACGAGAGTAAGAAAATCCGTGTTTGCACCGGGGGGGGGGGGTGGTGGCAAACATCAAACCGACCATTGGAGTCAATGATAATAAGTATTTCCTCTTCCGAGATATTTTCTGGAAAGAAAGGAGGGAGGAGATGATTGGATTATGATGAAACAAGGAAATGGAAGTGATCGGGCAGGGGGTCGAACAAGGAGCTTACCGAAAATTAGCGAGAGATTGCATTTCTCATTCTCTTCGAGTTTGTCTGGGAAAAAAGAGTGAAACGTTGATAGGGTGATGGTTCAGTGATGTCGCTGTGCTAGGGGAGGGGATCGGCAGCGGATATCCTTCTTACTAAAACGTTGCAGGAGGTTCCATGTCTCGTATTCCCCGAGTTTGTCTAGAGCAAATGAGAAAGAAGCGTTCATCGCATCACGACCAAAAATGTAAATGCGTATGGGCCTGGTCCGTACCATGCTAAATGACTATGGGATGACACTCGATCATCTCACAAAAGAAAAGGAAAATAAATTATAGTTTGCAGATCTTCCAACATTAAACTCCAAAACCCGGAATATTAGTTGGCTTCCTTTCGTCGCATAAAATGTGAACTTCGAAAATATAGGTTTTCAGCCAGGTATGACCCCTCGGGCAAACTTCATAACTAACTACACCAGCTAGATATACTGTAATAGTTCAAATTAACGTTCGGAAATAGAAGAATCCATTTATCACCATGAAAAAAGGGTTTTTATGAAACCTGATACACCTGCATTTTTCAAATTGGCATACATTTTAAATTTAAATTTCACCAACTCAATATATTTTGTGGGAGTTAAAAATAACAAAATCACATCGATGTGTTAAGAGTCCATGACAAGCTCTATTTTACGATGTATTATTTGGGTTTTCACACTCCCGCATATCAAATGTGGAGGTCCAAATGTCCCATTTCTTGTGATTAGCGAATTTTAACCTGATTTTCCATAATTTGAGTATCCAAATAAAAAGGTATCACAAATTTCGTATGAAAGAACCCTATATTGCATTCATGTATCGAAATGTCATGAATTTCTTAATATTGGTAGGTTATGACCTTGGCTCTGTCCAATATCGCCTTTCACGAAACCTGGCTCAACTGCTTAATTTCTATTACATAAATTATGATATGGCATGTTATTTTTATGCCAATAATATTCCATAAATAAAATTTAAGCTGGACTGATTGCATAAAATTGTTTAATTTAATTTGATCCATTTTGCATGTGTTTAAATGATACTACTACCATAATCTCAACTACTGGATGAGGCTGACAAAACAAGAGTATTTTTTTCCATTTTTCCAGATCTTACTATCCAGAATTACCTGTCTTTAATTAACAATATTTTGTCACCATGCAAGAGTTCACTGTTAAGTTTCACTGAAGGGCATATGACATAACGCATCATGATTATGGACTTCACAAAAAATGTGAAATATGATATTCAATTTTAATTTTATTGAAAAACAACTAGGTTATTGTTCATCCCATTCATTGTGGTCAATCATCGATCGATATTGTCAGGTCTTAGAGTAAGCAAATGTGCTGTCATTTCCAACCACTAGCAACCTGCACCAGTGTATTACTTCCTAGAGGCGTTTTTCACCTGTTTCGAACGAAGTCGCCCATCTGCCCAAGCAGATCTTGGAATGTTCTTTCATATAACATTTGCGAAACATTTTCATCTGGATATCCACTTTGGAAAAATGAGGTCAAATTTTACTGAAATCGCGAACAATTGGATAGACGCCTTCTACTTTCGATGCGTGGGGGGAGAAAAGTCAAATAATCCTTGCATCATGAAACGGAGTCAGAGGTGGACTGTCAGAGGAATTTGGTTTCTATCTATTAACTTCCACAAAAGATATCGTGTTGCGAAATCCATAAAATTATTACGATTTGCAAAATGTAAGTAATTCAGGTTTCATAACGCCCTTTTTCTGAACTGATTAACGGATTCATCAATTTCTGACCTTTCAAGTGAAATATTACATGCATTTCTAACTGCCGTAGTTTGAGAGTTATGAAATTCACTGGAGAGGTCATACATAGCTGAAAACCAATATTTTCCAAGTTCACATCTTATTTACCAACAAGAAGCAAATAAATATTTCGGATTTTGGAGGTTCATGTAAGATTTGTTAACTGTGAATTTTTCAATTTTTTCCGAGGGTCGAGAGCCAGGTCAGTTGGCATGGAATGACCTATATGACATGGGCTTGGGAGAAATTCTCATTCATACCCAATGAATCAATTAGCTGTTCTTTCTCCTCTGGTCCGAGATATTCTGGAAAGGAGAGGAACATGATCGCATCAAGAAGAAAAAGGAAATTGTGAATGAAGGGTGGCAGAACGAAAGCCGTCTTTACCAAATGTAGGTACAAGCTGGTCTTCCTCCTCTCTGTTTTTCAACGAAATAAACAGGAGAAATTATCACTTCATTAAACAGATAAGATTAATGCATTCAAGTTGGGGGTTAAAGTCATCCTCACTTATAGAAGAAATGAGCTTGGATCTTTCCTCCGGCCTAAATTTGTCTGGAAAGAGAAGATCGCACCATGACAAAGCAGGAAAGTCCCTATGATTTGTTTGTTGGCGGGAAGTGTGAATGTCGTCTTTACCGGATGAATCGATGAGCTTGCTTCTCTCCTCCGGACTGAGTTTATCTGAAAGGCAAAAGAGACCATTCATACATGCATTGTTACAGAAGCCGGAAAAATATGTGATCCTGTACAGTTGAGGTGAAAGTGATCCTTACTGTAGCTTTCCAGGAGGTTCCTCGTCTCATACTCTCCCAGTTGGTCTGGAAAGGAAAGAAAGAGGACGTGATTACATCAGAATAAACAGGGAAATGCATTACCAAGAAGGTGAGTGAGGCAAACGCCTTCCTTACAGAGTGATTGAACGATATTGACTCTTTCCTCCAGGTTGAGTTTCACTGCAAAGTAAAGAAAAGCAGTCATCTCATGTTGATGGCGTAGGGCAATGCGTGTGATGAGAGGTGGGCAAAACGTTGTTTACTGAGACTTTGCAGGAGGTTCCCTGCCTCATCCTCGTCGAGTTTGTCTGGAAAGGAAAGAGAGGAGACGTTATCGCAGAAAAAATGGGCCTGGAAATGCAGGAGGTGTGGGGTGAGGTGACGTCCTCGTACCGAGAGATCGAATGAGCTGACATGTTTCCTCCTGCCCGAGTTCCTCTGAAAAAAGGGAAGGGAGGAGAATCTAGGAAATCACGATAGAGCAGGGAAAAGATATAGAAGACTTACGTACCAAAAGATGGAATGAGCTGCTGTCTCTCCTCCGGTCCGCGTTTGTCTTTAAATGAAAAGGAGAATAGGAGAATGCATCTTGATGGACTATGACAAAGAATGTCATTGGGGAAGGGGCGGGCAATGTTATTCTTACTAATGGAATCAACGAGTTCCCTTGTCTTCTCGGGCCCAACAGCGTCTAGATAAAGATAAAATTTATGGTTATTGATGATATTACGAACGAGGAAATGGATTGGATTGGGAGCATTTTTGCGAATGTCATTCGTACAGAAATTTTCCAGGACGGTCCACGCCTCAGCTTCCCCCAGCTTCTCTGGAGAGGAAAGAGAGATTACATAATCGCTTTATTACGGAAGAAGGGGACGGGCAGGAGATACGAGTTGCTTACTGGATACACTCCGGAAAGTAGTCGTTGCCACTGGGCCGAGTTTGTCTGCAAGAAAAAAGAATAGAGGTTATTGCATAATGGAAAAGATATGTGACTACGTTGGTCGGGTGAACTTCTTACTTAAATTACGCAGGAGTGAGTTCGTCTCCATGGGGCCGAGTTCGTCTGGGGGGATAGAGAGATGTTCCGATCCCATTATCACTGAAAAGGGAATTGCAATTTATTATGATCGATGGACGAACGTCATCTTACCGAATATATCAATGAGTTGGCGTTTTTCCTCCGGTCCAAGTATTTCTGGAAATGAATGAGAGAAGAGATGCCTGGATCATGACGGATGAAGTAAATTCATGTGATGTGGCACGAATGGCGAATGTCCCCTTACCGAACGAATTAATGAGTTGGTGTGTCTTCTCCGTCTCGAGTTTTCCTGGAAAGGAATCAGAGAAAAAGTAGGGTAAAACAATAAAACCCGAACGGATTTCGGCATGGCATTATGAAACTAGGCGGCAAGAGGGGTACCTCTCGCTTCCCTTGAGAACCACAAAATTGTAACATATATCTTTGTTTCCGTTTTTTTTAAATTTTTTTTTCTCAATGCTGCATGTAAGAAACGCCTCCAAATATCACAACTGAGATATCGCGAAGAGGTGTTTGGTTAGAATGACAGGCTGACGGATTGAGTCGCAGGGGGAACTGCTAGACCCGAACACTCGTACGTCTTGAGTACATACTAGATAATTTCCCTTTGCACCTCTGCTCCTGGATCCTGCATATCATCGTACTCTAGCTGACTCGTAGTAAAAACGCAGAAACTTGAAATAAAAACGCATTCATTGTTCTAGGAATGATCGCGATGCATGGCAAAAAATATTTTCCAGACCTTAATATACACATTATCGATACGAAGCTCAAACATTTTTTCCCCGAATGGTTTCAATTTCTTGTACATTCAGGTACTTAAATTTTCCTATTTCAATCAATTTTCCTCATTATTTCAATATCCATGCTTAGGATGAAAGCTTTTTAAAGTAAATGATCTCTAAAGGGAATTCATGACAGGTAAACCTCAGCCTGTGAAGAATAAGGCTGCCCTTGAAGAACAAGTACGGAACGAGGTCCATCTTCAACACGATCGATTGGAAGAGGAAGAGATTTAGAGAGTAAAATTACCGAGTTTGTTAGTCTTGCTTGGCTTCCTAAGCTCTTTCAGTCATGACAGAGATACATAAATGACGCATTAAAGTTTACTCACTCAAAGCGTCCGCTATGAAACTTCATCGACAAAAAAATATAAAAATTCTAAAAGAGGTCTCAGGGAATTCGAAGCCCTGCTAGGCCTCTTAGTCGTGCATTCCTATATAGTCATTCAATAAATATTGAAGTAAATGCGGGAACTTCTAAGTCCCACCAGGACCGGAATGTTTTAACTCCAGTAATTTTCTTTTAGATAACACTGTTTTCCCAACCAAAATTCGAAGCAATCCAACCTACCCTCCGGCAGCCACAGAGAGAATGTAATCTTTGAGCAAGTATTCTTTCTGCTTAGGGTCAAAGGTTATTTCTCGCCTATCTTGAAGCGTGTGACTTTTTAATTTATTTACATGACCAATTGTCTTTGGCTTTTCAAATCTCGCACTTGCGTTCTATGCCCCATACCTCCCCGGACTGCTTAAGCAGTTTGACGTACGGCTTCATAAGTGTACTGGGACAGGCGGCCTCTTTTTTCCTGATTTTTTTCCCAGAAGGTGGCTTTCATTCCTCAGCCTTTTTTGAGGATGATTTTGATCCAGAAATGAAATATACCGTATCTAAGCTATGCACAAATTGCTAGATTGATGTTCTTACAACATATGAAAACTGATTCACAGAGTTTCATATAACGTTTTTCTTCATACCAGGAATGGGTAAAAGCGCTCGACGGTCGAGTTTAACAGAAATATTTTAGACTATTTAGACTCGACCACCATCGTTCGAGTGTTGTGTTAACACGAGCTTAGGTGCGGTTAGAGTCGAACGGCCGCGAGGTTCTGCATCTTGGAAGGAACTCGACTCCGATTGCTACGAATATATTTACAACTATATGATTGCTGAAGAAGGCAATAGGGCAACACTTGTGAAGCACACGATGAGAAAAAATTCAAGATACCCCTTTCAGAATCCAAACCTGATTAAAAGGCACACAGTTTTCGGCACTGGAGTGATAATCCCCATTGCCTCAGTCATGGTCACCCAAAACATTTCATGGTTCTATTTGTAGAGGTAAAAAAAGAGCAGCTGATATGATGCGCAGGGTGCATAGAAATACGAAATCAAGATAAAAATTTCAATGCATTCGACTCAACCCTAACCCTGATGAAGGCGTTCTAGTTTCGTCGTTTTACGCTAGTTTCATCAAGACAGCGCAGAAGAGCATGTGATGATGACGCGCGTGGCAGGCGGCAGCGGAAGGATGGGACTACGCCAATTTTACTAACATTTTATCTGAGCGGGGAAATTCGACAGATCATGCGATGAACACTTCACAAAGATAAACATTCCTCATCGTGCAATAGTATGAAAACAAACAAGAGTTCACAAGGACATTCATTATCTTCCCAGGATTGCAAGTGCAATTCTGATCATCATAAGATGATCAGAATTTCAAGCTAAATATCTCTGACAGTGTTAATCCCTAATTTGTGTCCAGAGTTATCAAGAATTTATGCTTGAATAAATAAAAACTTGATCATTAAAAAGTTCTCTGAAACAAGTATCAGCTCCATGCATCAGATTGATTCATGCATGAAATTGATGCATCGTAAGCATCACACTTACCGCAAAGGTAACAAACACCCTTAAATCGTTTTCTTGAAATCACTTCCAGGAATCTCGATTTCACACGGTCTCGTAGTGAGACACTCAACAACGGCCCCACAGTGAAGTGTCTGGACGGGAAGGGAATATGAAACTGGAGCCTGAATGGCATTCCCCTCTTCCCCAATTCCTCTGACATTAGCCATATTATCTCCACACTACCTCATCTGATGATTTCGAAGGTTTACTCAATTTTTCTTCACGCTTCAGACGTTTTCCAGCCCCGTTTGATCAATTAAAATCTTCTAGGCAAGCTTTTCGGGAGGTTACTATCGCCACATAGCCGCAATTGAAATTAAGACAATAGGCGAATTTTCTCATTGAATATCCTCCCCCACGCCTGAAACTCAAATCAATTCCATAGTGTGCGTGCATGGGCTTGCGTATCGATTTTTTTTCAAGATCGCTAAACTCCTTCTTGGACGAGCCTTTTTGTGCCAATGGCCAAGTTTTTCCTTAAACGTTTCAGATATTTTTATAACTTGGTTTCCGCCAGGACTAGCTGCCCTCCAACTGGTTCGTTTCCCTTGCTATGAAAAAGTTCAAGCTTCAATCGCATTACTCCTCATCAGGAAAAAAAGATTTGAAGGAAAGGGAACAGGATCATTTGAGGACATTTAGAGAATACATGGTATGGTTTAGATTGTTTTTCCGTGGTCTTTTTTGCTACTTTTTCCTGACCTAGCATAACTGGTATAGAAAACATCGTGCAACCGAGATGTAATATACATTTATAGCGGTATCTTCCAGCTCACTTCAGGTTTGGTTGACATTTGTTTTTGATAAATCTTCTGGTGGTTTCCCTTCTACTCTTTAGGACTATTAGGTAGTTTTTCTGTGTGGTTTTCGCATGCATGCTCTGATTCGAAGGGTTTCTGAAACTTGGTTATTCCGCTCCTGAAGATCTACCTGATATTTTCATCTATCAGGCCCTAACAATAGCTTAAACCCACCAAAAATCCAAAAAGAGCATTTGTGTGAAAAAGGTGTTAAAAAGAAAAGGGACTGCAATCTCACGATTGCTGTTCTTAACCAAGAAACGTTCTGCAAATTCGCCAATTCATTATGCAGAGCTTCCAATATCGTTCTGTCCATGCGCTGTGGGAGTCCTTTATAATGAAGGAAATGTATTATTGGTAGTTCCTCCACTGGTAGGGATGGTCGGACAAAGGGATATCCACACCATACTTGCTAATATCCTCATTACAGTGTCCAACCCATGGTTGGATTTCGGACCGACTGGGTGAACGTAAATAAACCTGCGAGGTATATCCAATTGGTTCGAATTTCATCGAGGGAGACATCCTCTTGGTTTGCAGTATATGTCACAGGTAGCAAGGGTGGGGCATCAACTTTGTCATTCAGTCAATGTGGATGCACGAGGTAGATTTTAAGAGGGACTTCTCATACTCAGTGAAATGAAGATAATCCTCATCTTTAATATTTTTTGGACATTTCATTTAAAATAGTTGGGTAGAAATTGTCTATATTCTTTTTTTTTAGTGATCTCCAAGATTGGAAGTCAGAAATACAGTGATTTAGCGCAGATTGCTTTTATAAAACGCTGGAATTCTGCAACATTAGTTGACATTGGCAATGCTGGGAGAGAGAGAGAGGCCACTATCGTTAAAAGACCGTTTTACCTGAGTTGCGCACTTCCAATCCTGCCAGCTTCCGGTCCAGTGACTGCAGCATGATAACGGTGTGTTTTGTCCACGTCACTCTTACCTTCCCTTGAAACAATATTCTTGTCCATGTGGAGGGGATCCCGCGCTTTCCGTGCAACTGGGGCAGATTCTCCACTCCCATCCACAAATCTCCACCCTCTTGAGATATGAAAGAAGTGAGAAGGGCGATGAAAGCGAGAAAAATGTACAAGGCATCCAAGAAAGGACGTCCAATGTTTCATCTTCTCGTCAAGAGTTCCTATAGACTACCAGCGTTTTGCTTTGTTTTAATACGAAGCATTTTGCTGAATGCATGATGCAATTGAGCTAGAAAATAAAGTTAGATGTGCTTACTAGATATGGCGAAAGTACACGGTTCTAATAGTCTTCGACGTTTTCGAGGAAAATTTTGAAGAAAGCCACCATCATTGACGGAATGTACTATTTGGGGCGAAACATACGGGAAACCGGAACTCTTCGGAATATACACCCTCCTGGAAAGCTATGAACATCGACAGATCGCAAAGAGACGATCAACCACAGCACTAATAAGTCCGTGAGATTTCCATCGATCGACATTTTGATCGATAGATTTCGATCGATTGGAGAAATCCAGTGCTTCTCGCACAGGACTTATCCATAATGCATCAGTGGATGTTCACGTTCTAGTTGAATGCTATTAAGAACTCATTAGAACTTCTGGAAATGAAATTCGCTACAAAGT